GCATCAAACTCGCAAATTATAACATACTCAAGACAAACAACAAACTAAAGATAAACCTGAACCTAAGTAATACTAAACTAGTCTACAACAATATCTACACATTATAGGCTGCATTTGTCTTAAAATTCAAACAGTTCTGGTCTTTCTGTCTTGAATTTCTGTCTTTCTGTCTTGAATTCAGTCTGTACAAGTATTATGTTGTGGTTCAATTTTATCCCTGGTTTAAATTTTATTTTCCTTTGTTTCAAGGTCATTATCATACAATACCATACCCCAAAACAACAAAGATAAAAAAATTCAAACCAAGGATAAAATTGAACTACAACATATCAATGTCACATATATATTATATTATATTATACCTCCATTTTTAACATGAATCCATACTTTCCAGCAATATTTAATGCCTCTGTGACATTAGCATCTATCTGCATAGCCCACGTGTTAGTATACTTGAGACCTTCTGCAACCCCATGTTCATCAAAGAAAGACAAAACAGCCAAAAGAATAAACAGCCGCATCTGTAATAAAAAAATATCATAGACTGACTGAAAACAGACTGTAATCATGCGCTTTTTTTCTTGTGAGGTTCCATGATAAAATCTTCTTCAATCAACAGTCACACGATTATTTAGGGATACTGCAAAGGCTTTCATTTTTATCTCGAATCTCGAGAGAACTGTCAATTGGTGGTTATCCAATTTTTTCAGTACCTCAAACCTTTATAGTTTTTTGCTCCTCAGCATTTCACTACCTTTCCTCTAAAGAACTTTCACTAATAATAGAGAAACACTGTGTGCAGCCAACCAAATGGCTGAGCTTGCGTAAGAATGAAATGTCTTTTTACAACAGGAATACAATTGATTGTGACAACAACTGATTAAACAATACGTGGCTGAAACAACAGGTACTTTCATGTACAGCTGTTAACGTTCGTTGGATTTCCGCCTAAGCATTGAAGCCAACAAGCATAATTCTTACCAACGATGCAACTTATAAACCATTCGTTTATATCATGAGGGTTGGATTAGCGATAAGCTTACATATTGCTCTTTTACTCACCTTCAGCAGTTAAAAAGTTTCAGCTTACAGGGTTTTAGCATAGTTCTTTTCCCGGTAGTACATGGACAGCAACCATTCTAACAGTCCAAAAACTGGCACCAATTTCATCAAACTGATCCACAGAGAAAGATATCGTATGCTATGATCCTCCATTTTAAATCAGATGCCAGGCATCATGCGCCGCTACGAAAGGAAAGATTTTCACTACCCGCCATCTTTGAGCTTGGTAACCACCTCTTCACTAGAACGTTGGAACATGACACAGAACTTGGGATACGGAACGAGGTTTGGGAACGAGGACGCCACGTTCCCTTTCCCCCTCCCCAGAGCACCGCGCTTGGTTCGCTTCCCTCACCGATATTTTTCCTATTTCAACCCGTTTCTTTTGCTTTTTCCCCCAGTGCGGAGCCAGGTTCCAGGCTACGTTTCCGTCGTCTGCGAACGGCAGATGTTTCTCCTCGCTCATCGCCGGTGATGGACGTCTCACGAAACGCCCCTCAGCGGCGATGCGAGGAGAAACGTCTGCCGTTCGCAGGCTACGTTTCCCGATTTTCACAGGAGAGATAACAAAAGACAGCAAGTACAGTACCATGCATGCCACCAAAGTGTAGGGAGGAAGCGAACGAGCAAAATGAAACATAAACAGGGCTATCTTTTCTCGTTTTCTCACCGCGCCTACGAACCCATCCTCTAATGTGCGCCTAACTTTTGCTACCAGTATTGATTTTACCGTGTATTCGAAATAATCGCGTGTCCGGATATATTTTGAATCAGGAACCTTAAGTAAATACTTTTCCGGGGTTAAGGGTTGATTTCCAGTGTGTCGCGTAATTTTTATGTGCGTAAAATTTACGTTCGCAAATAAAATAGAGGCAATCCATGAAAGGTCGCTCGTAAGCGTAAAAGTTGAACCTCGCTCAACCTCTCGTTTAATTCAGCACTTTTTATCTTGCCTCTGTGTTATTTACGTGATTAAAATTACGTGTGTTAACGAGCGTAGCAGAAACGCGTCAGTGGAAATCAACCTTAGAGAGGAATAATAGTAAAAGACAAACAGAATTTTTCGAGTTGGAATACAGTGAACACCCGCTAATAAGCAACTGTGGATTAAGAACCTCCTGGCAGAAATTTTGGACTTTAATACCCAACTATACAAAATTCTGTTTAGCCAAACAAGATCAAGCAGGTTGTTATATGTGGGTTGCAGTTAAATTTTGATAAACAATTTAACAAGGAGTGTAACCAGTGTAACTTTGGGTTGAAAATTTAAGTACAACAAACACATACTGTACTAGACTGTCTGCAAATTCGGTAATCAGTTTTTTAGGGCTATAATAATACAATTGTAAATAAATATATGACAAAAAAGTTTATTTAGTTTTCTGGTAATCAGCATCCTTCATAATCCTTCATCCTTCATAAAAATTAATAAGAACCTAATTCTGAGAACCTACTTAGCCAACCCCAAAATAGTCTGTTATGCTGTCTTGATGTTTTATTTCAATTTCTACTGAATCTCACTTTTTAGAGTTCGTTATTTTAAGGGAGTTGTAATGGACGTTAAATTCATCGTCTCCCTTGCAAAATTTAATATAAATGACTGAAACCGACTGTTACTGTGGAGGTGGGGGAGGGGGGTGGTGGTTGGTGGGGAGCGAAACACTTAAACGTGAGTTTTATCAACTAAGTGACGAAATAAGGGGCAAATATAATTCGCCATTTTATTGATTGTTTTGTTTTGTTTTGTTTTTTTTCCTATCACTCTTAAGGATCAGTTTACTGTTCTAATTTAAAATTGTGGGTAGTTAGCCTGTATATTTTTTCTGAGGGGAGTGGGTGGCTGTACACAGGCTATGGGTAGTATTCATTTGCCTGTCTTATTTATTTTTGTCGATTGGAAAGTACTTTTTAGAGCTGATGTTGTTGTTGTTGTTGTTGTTTGGACTTGTTTTTTTAATTGGTTTCTTCTTTGAGAGTAGCGTCTGTTTGAAGGAAGGAGATTAAAGGCCGGAATCAAGTTCAGTTTTCCCCTTTTTATTCCTAGAACGATAATTATATTATATTCGAACGAGAGAGAACAGGGTTGAGAAATAACCGGTTAACTACATTTTCCACTCAAATCATTCTGGATTTGCTTCGAATTACAGGAACAATGAACTTTTTTCAATCAACCTTCGCGTAAAAAACTGATTTAACAAGTTCCCACTAACGCATGCGCGATTAAGCCAACGAAAAAGCATGTCACAGGAGTAAACTCAGATAGGCTTGACGTACAAGGCATCACAATTGACAGGACAAAGAATCAATTTTTTAATCTACTCATAGCCTGACAGTGAATGTGATAATTGGCCATAAGCTTTTAAATTTCTCCAGTCAGGTGGACATAACCAAAGAGGTTTGTCTGCCGCCTTGCAGTAATAAAAGAAAACATTGGAACACACGCTCTTCCTTCACACAAAAATCTGAAAACAACGCCAGCAAAATGGCGGACGGATCTCCCAGAGGGCTTTTCGTGTCCCTAACCCCTTCAATGGGGGCGATTTTTACGAAGGGAACGGATCATTTCAGGTCGTCCTGCGAACAGATTTGGCAGTTGATTTTGAATAAACACAACATTATAGCGTGGATTTGTTGGCCTTATATCTACGCCGAATGATGATCTAAGTACAGTATTTTATGATGTAGTAAGCCTGCGCGGGAGCTGCCCGCGGTCCTCAGTTGAAGAGCTTCGACTTGATTCAATTGTCTCCCTGCGTGTAAAGAGTCTTTCCTTACAAGAAAAGAATATGCTATTTGTAGATCACCCCCTCAAATAGAAGCATATTCAGTCGGGACTCGTTCAGTTTGAAGAGATTTAAATGCAATCTCCGACAGAAAGAAAACTGAAATTTAACTTGGCCCTCTCCACTTGTCTAGAAATACAGGCGATAGCGAAAATGGGGAATCTGGCGAAAAATCGCCATGGGCAAAAATTGAAATGAGATTACAAGAGGCGCTCACCCTGTCACGTTGTATAAGCGTAGAACGACAATAATTTTTGGAATCTCCGGTCTAGTTCAAATTAGTCACATTATACTGTCATACTATACTTTTGATGGGGGCAGAGGGATTGTTGGAGAGGGGTGCGTGTTGGAAATGTCCCAGGTAAAAATAATGAAAGTCGTTTCTTATTTCATATGGCTAACTTGCCTATTTTCATTCATACTGGTAGAAGTTACACGCCCACTCCAAGGGTTAGGAGTAGCTTACACTCAAGCCGGAAAAAGTGTAGTTGTAATCTATACTTCCCGAACTATTAAACCACTGCATCGTGCAGCAGCCAGCAGCCAGCAGCCCAATGAATCTCCGTTATGGGGATCTTGTTTTAATGGACGCCTTTAACTGACTGAGGTATACGCCGTCTCAGTTGTTCTCTTTAATTGTTTTTGCTGTAAACAAACCAAAAATTGGGAGGAAGACCTCATCTCAAAACCACGGCGACCAATTAAAGTCATTTAATTTAAAACTGGCCTGACCAAGAAAAACTTAACACAGGTGCCCATATTTCGGGTACAAGTATGAAGTCCGTGTCATGAAAAATAAAACGCACATTAACAACTACAAAAGATTATTTTCCAAGTTTTTTTATTCAATGTTTTACTTCAAACAGATTGTCAAGAGCAGCTAAAATTTTTCAGTGAGTTTAAAAAAGGTACCTTCAGCCATATCATTTATAAAATTGGCACCGGCGTTTCTTTAAGAACATGAAGACTAGAGGAGGATTTTGCACATGTAGTGATGTGCACATTTCTTCACTCAACCGATCTTTTCTCGCCTTATGGTAAAACGACGAGAGTGGTATCATTCTAGGATTTTGATCATCACTCGTTTTACTCTGCAGAATGACGACTCCTAATTCAGTTCAGCAGAATTAATTTACTAGTTATTCACTTAATAAATCACGTATCTGATCCTTCTTGTTCTTGAAGAAGACCCGTTATTTTGTTCAGATTGTGGTCGATTGCTTTATTCAAAAAGTCAAGCCAAGAAGAATCTGAGTCCACGGTAAAATGAGAATTCCTAAAGAAAAAAAAAGGAGAGCATGACAATTAAAAGTTTAAAACGTTTTCAGTTGAGTGTTACAAAACCAAAAACCAAAGTAATGATTCTGGCCAATTAGAACTGAGGCAGACAATTCGATCAACCAATTAGGACTCAAGCCGGAAGCAAACGGCTTGTAAGCGCGGGAAAAAAGTGCGTGAGCAGGTCAGCGTTGCTTTTGACCTTTTTACTGACTGGTCCACAATGCAGCGCGAGATTTTTTCAGCTATATCACATTAAACGTCGCAATAACCAAATCAATGCAACTACTTTTGGAATACTCCCAAAGCTCGATTGAAAACCATTGTCTACCAATGGGAATATAGGACAATCTGATCACGCCAGCGCGACTTCTCGCGTTTAAAACCTGTTGCATACATTAAACTTGACTCAGTTTTGATAAGTCAACAAACTACATGCTCGTGCAACCATGAGATTTTAAAATTATTACTTTGGTTTAAGAGAATACCTAACTAAACCTCGACCCTTTTTGAGATGCTTGCTAGATTAACTTCAATCTATAAAATTAGATGAGACGTTTCATGTTAAGGGTTTTACCTTGCCCTGGTAAGCAAATCTTTCAACTGATCAGCAAGCTTTGATGTCTGCATTGAAGAAAAAATGCGAAAAACAACATCTTTTAGCTTGAGAATCANCCGGAAGCAAACGGCTTGTAAGCGCGGGAAAAAAGTGCGTGAGCAGGTCAGCGTTGCTTTTGACCTTTTTACTGACTGGTCCACAATGCAGCGCGAGATTTTTTCAGCTATATCACATTAAACGTCGCAATTATCCAAATCAATGCAACTACTTTTGGAATACTCCCAAAGCTCGATTGAAAACCATCGTCTACCAATGGGAATATAGGACAATCTGATCACGCCAGCGCGACTTCTCGCGTTCAAAACCTGTTGCATGCATTAAACTTGACTCAGTTTTGATAAGTCAACAATTTACATGCTCGTGCAACCATGAGATTTTAAAATTATTACTTTGGTTTAAGAGAATACCTAACTAAACCACGACCCTTTTTGAGATGCTTGCTAGATTAACTTCTAAAAAATAAATCTATAAAATTAGATGAAACGTTTCATGTTAAGGGTTTTAGCTTGCCCTGGTAAGCAAATCTTTCAACTGATCAGCAAGCTTTGATGTCTGCATTGAAGAAAATATGCGAAAAACAACATCTTTTAGCTTGAGAATCATCTTCAGTTAACTTTCCATCACACGGATTAAACACATAACGCAAACTTAACTTACACATTCCTTGACATTCTGACGATTCATTGGATAATAAAGACTCATAACAACATCATCGACACTGCAATGGAAAAAGAAACAAACGTTAGCGGCACAATCGTTGGTGGTAAAACGTCAGAGCCGTCTAAAGTACAGAATATGGGACGCTAGCAATACAAACGAAGAGGGGGAGGGCAAAGGAAACTAGTTTCGTTTCCTTTTCCCCCTTCCTCTCCTCCCCTTTAGAAAAAGACATCTTGATTTTCCTCTCTCTGTTCTCGCTCCGACCGTTCGCGCCCTGCTACACTACGTTTTAAGAATCCTGGTTGCTTGTTTCTCTTCCCGCTTCTTGGCTTCTTCCATGCGCGTTTAATTTTTAGTCCTCTTCAATAAAACCAAGCGCGTACTCATGCCTCAGCTGTACCTGTCACGCCCTACGTTTCTTAGTATCCTAATCCAGCTTGTCTTTCTCGTTTGCGCTTAACCGTAAATAACGTTTCACGCTAGGCTAAATAACGCCTAATGTGCAAGCTCTGACGCCTTAGTGAAGTACTCTTAATACGGTACAACACCATGCTAGCGTACAGTACACCTAACAGATGATTGCACAGTGACTGTATAATGTATTCTAGTTCAATCAGTGAAAAACAGACCCTTCCACGGTTTTTTAAAAACTTATGACTGGGACCAGTTAGCAACACGGCTAAAGAGAACCCCTTTAAATTAATAAACATGCCAATCAATTTTCAACGAGATTTCTCATTGGTAGTGAGCCAACAAAGATGTAGCTCCGCAAATTCACGGAATATTACAGACTTTTGTATATAGGTGGTGGGAGGAAAGTTCGTCCCACAACCATTAAAAGGCCGGTAAGATTTCATAAGGTTTTGGAGCAATATCTCTGTAAATTTCTTGATTTTAAGGCGCTCTTTCCAGCAGTGTCAATTGATATTCGCTAACTGGTCTTTGGAAGGGTGTATCTCCTGCGCTTTTCCCGCGCTAACATGACGACAATGATGATGTTCCTATTGGTTGAACTGCCCGTGATAGGCCCTTTGCAGCTTTCTATTCACGTGGTACAAAACCGCCATGTTGGGACGCAAAAGTCGCACTGGGGCTAGACCAATAAAAGGCATACATAATTTTAAATGGTAATTTCCTTTGCTTGTCTTGTCCCAGTGCGACTTTTGGGTCCCAGCATGGCGGTTTTGTACCACGTGAACGGAAAGCTGCAAAGGGCCTATTGTAATAATAAGCCAAATATTTTTACCATGGACTGGTCCTTAAGACCTCGTCTGCCATTTCGTCCAATTGTTGAGTATTCTCTACTGAAGTTACTTGACCCGAAGTTTTAATTGCTCCAGAAATCTTCTTCACGCACGATCGACAGGCCTAGGGAAAGATATCGCATTGCAGCTTAAGAGCAGGTCACTGGTCTTCCGGCCTAAGGGTTGATTTCGACTGTCGCGAAATTCTTCCGTGCGAACGCACGTAAAATTTACGTGCGTAAATAAAATGGAGGCAATGTATGAAAGGCTACGCATAAACCTAAAAGTTGAGCGGGGTTTAACTTTTACGAATACGCGTGACCTTCCATAAATTGTCTCCATTTATTTACGCGCGGAAGATTTACGTGTGTACGCACGGAAAAATTACGCGACAGTGGAAATCAACCCTAAGGGACGGGAAAAAGGAGAATGGGGGCGGGGGACGCGCCTTAAGGTACACGTTATTTTTGAGTCATACAATAAAGCCGAATTCGGATTGCTACATATTAACCAGTAAGAGTTATGAGAAGGTAACAGATCGGGACGCAAAGTTTATCTGTTGTTGTGTTGGTTGTGTTGACAACGTCTCCTTTGTTGCTCGCAGATTGGAGACTAAGTGAATGAGGAAATTACTCAAATCGTCTTTTCAGGCCAGATATAACAACAAGAGAGAAGTGGTATAGACGAACTCAAGTCACCCGTAGCTCCTCACCTAACTACACAGCCATGAAGTCACTTAAGAGCCTTATCGTGAGGATACTCCTGCTTTACGTCAATTTCGTACCAAAATCATTACTTAGTACCTTTATCCATACACGAAATGCTCCTTTAGGGTAATGAAGGAGATAAAGGAGCAGCGATTTTCTTATGACCTTGAGAAATGGTTTCGGTAAGTGTTCGTTGTTTGTTTGTCAGCCAGTGGATGAAGAGATCTAAACATGGACTCTTCGTTTTCCCACCAAAGAAAACCCTAATATAAAGAAGGCATTGTTCGATTGGCCAATCGTTTTAAAGCTGAAAAACAATTTAAAAAAATTCTAGCGAGGAAATGCAACGGGCGCAAATGAATCCACCCTAAGAATGTGGCTTAATTAGTCCAATTAATTTCTTTTTGGCTTTTTCCTTTTTTCATTTTTCTAGGACAACGTTATTGAAATTAGGTGCATGTGCCTAAGCGTGAATTAACCCGAGGTTCAGCCAGTATAGCTTTGTGTGAGATGTCGGGCACTCATACTGCGGGTTCCACAATCAATTAATGAGGGTCTACTTTGAAATCAACTGAATCACTTACTTTGACTAATCCTACACAAGGTGGAACCAACAGTTTATCTTCAGATGGCCAACCCTGTTTAATGGCTTCTGTGTCATCGCCATCATCATCATTATCACCTTGACATCCATTACACTTTTGAGCCTACAACGAAAGATTATTATCATATTATCCTAAATTTTTCCCTGATGAATCCTTGAGGCATGTCAGCCTGTAAGTACATGTACATGTCCGTAACAACAAGGAACTACAAGTATACGTAAATTAGAAATCGCATGCAATAAATTCTTTGCCAAAACGTAGATGTGTCGGACCTTGTTTCGGGCCCATTCTAAAAAGAGACCCCCTGTGGTTCAATTCTTGTAAGTGACGACCTTCCGTAGTCCACCACTAAATATTGGCATTTTGGGTGGTCGCTTAAGGCAGGTTTGACTGTTAAGGTATTGTACATAAAAACATTAAAAATAAGCACTTATTATTCCAGTCCAAGAAATCTTAACATTTTAATCCATTACCCTCAATTACGAAGCACCTTCTCGATAGAGATATTGCGAAACAAAAGATGTACTGATCGCATGCACAGGATTGGAATTACAGAGCGGACGTCCATATTTGGAAAGTGCTGTGACGTCACGTGAAAACCGAGAATTGTTACACCGCCGGTGAAACTGAATATGACTCGGGATCAGGGGCCCCCCAGCTCAGGATACTGACGCTGAAAGAAAGAGTCCTCCATCCCATTCCTATTCATTGAATTTTTGTCCTTGTATGTTTTCTTGGTAGAAACAAAATTGACCTAAAAGCAATATCATATATTACATTCCGGGGGTGGGTGGTTAACATTGAAGGCGAGGAAGGGGCTTTTTAATGCCGTATTTACGGTAACTAATTGGTAAGCGGCTAGGGAAAGGTGCGCCGCCAGCTCTTAGTTTCTTTATGTCTGTAAAACACTTTCACCTCGTGGGTGCAAATTTGTAGGATTCTGCAAGCAGGTTTTTGCGCCTTGCTTGCTCTGTACCTTTGACCGTTACCAGGACATAACTGCAACCAAAAGTGGCGTCCGAGATATGCCGGGCTCAAACTTCGAACTTTTACACGTGCCAAACCTTATAATAAATAAGTAAAGTTTTCATCCTCTACTTGCGGGTAACGCAGAATACTGATAAAATGGATGATACTGCCAGCAATGAGAGCATTCAAGCGTCTCAGCAAATCAGAAATATAAATTTGGCAGATGACCTGGTCTGACTCATAATTCGGGCCTTTAAGGTCAAATACGTGAGCGGTAAAATTAAAAACACTGTAAAAAATGTTTTGGAACAAGTAAATCGCGAGAGCGTTAAAAGAAGTTTTCGACCACATGGAGCGAAGAGGTGAGCAGACAGTCTATGGACTCCCAACTTCCGCCAATTTTTTTGCCGTTCTTGTATGAAATAACTACTCGATTAGTAAGCTGTAATAATCAGAATTTGTTGTGTCTGATAACAATTAATGTTATATTTTTTCCCGAAATAAGGGCCTTTTTAAAAAGTTTTGATATCAACTTCTTTCGTACTTTCCAGTGTTCCATTTCTTATCCAGCCACAAGCCACCAATCTAAATAAGATACCTTCCAGCATTAAGTTGGCATTTGTCCTGAACTTGTCCTTAACATAGCTACTATATATACTAACTTCCCGTAACCGATATCTTTGTAATAAGAGCTTGTGCACAGGATAGACTTGCCAGACCTTAATTTCCGTTTGGGCTGCCAACACACTTTACGATAATCGCTAAACACCAAGCGCAATGGAAGAAGAGACCAAATCAGATGCCAAGTGTAAAACCAAGGTCCCAAAAAAAGATTCGTTGGTGATCTTTGGCATGACGTTGGTTCTCTTGGCGTTGATTTTTGTAAGGACAGAAGTTATAAATAGGAGGGCAGAGGTGATGGAAGCAAAACTTGAAAAACGTATTCACCGAATCGAGGACGAAATGCAAGCGAAAGTTCAGACCATAGTGAAGAAGATGTTACAGACAGTGCGAAACCCAACGACGCGAAGCTCAAGACATTATGCAAATTTGGGTAAGTCGAAAAACCACTGTTTTTGAATGCAAAGAACGCCGTGATAGCACTGATATGTCACTGATGAAGATAGATCGACTGCTAATTGTAAATGTCTCAAAATACTCATCCCTGGAGAGACCCGCGCACTAAGCCATTGTTTATCATGGTGGGAAATCGTCTCGTGTTGGCATGGAAAATAACTACGCATACTTTTAGATGTGGTCAATGTTTGGCGTTTTTCTGCTTGAATTTAATGTACTAGTATGTCACTGTCTAATGTAGCAGCTTGGAATACGATACGCCTCTCACCACTAACAAAGGTTGTCGGTTTTTAGTAGCTCGTTGAGAACCAATATTTCCTACCACAGGTTCTTTCGTGACAGCCCCGTTCTTTCCAATTTCCAGTCACTTTAGTCCTGTTAAACTAGTATTTGAAACTTAAGAACGAATGTCGCTAAGGATTGAGCAAAATTGGAAATGGTCAAACAAAACCTTCCCTCATACTGTGTATGTCGTTAGTACTTCAGATGAAACTACTCACTGTGGCATTTGTTTAACTTCTAACTAGCCTGAGTATCAGGCGTTTCTGGGGGAAAAGGGGAAAGATGGAAGCGAAAAAGGGAGAGAGCTGAAGGTGAGAAACGCCTGACACAGATGCTTTTACTGGAGCCCTCCACCCTCACACAGCATGATTCGATAGCATCCAATCAAAATCACTTCCGGTCTTTGGGTTGTCAGCTTCACGTGTCAAAAAGCTCGTCTAAAATAGATCTCGCCTTACCGTCTGGCCGAGCTCCGGACTAGTGCTTGTGTTGCTACGATTTCGCCTTTTTTCTGAAACCTCCAATGAGGAGTTTTCGAATAAATGTAATGGAAAACCTGCCGTTTTTGAGGAATTATAACATGTGTTAGGAATTGTGCTAGTGTAAAATCGCCAACGCTCTGAATGTAAATAAACGTGTGCCCGGAAAATTGTAAAGTGCTTTTGTTTACAAAGTTACATCAGGCGCTTGTCTGGCAGCTAAAAAGCTGATGTAGATCGGCCGAGAATCCTCCGAGGGAAAATCTTTTTTTTTCTTTAGGTTTTGTTGGTTATCCCTCGTATTCTCGGGTGGTTGAAAGGAGCTGCAAGAATAAATAGAAAATTATCAAGCGGCAGCAAATTCCACCACTTAACAGAGAGCTCGTGAAAGCTGTTACAAGTTCAGTTAAGAAAGAAGTGAGAGCCTATAGCAAAGGTCAATCCTGTTGGCGAAATGTGATGGCGCCCGCGAACGAATTCCAATCACGTTCGCTATCGTAACCGCCACAAGCAAATTCAAGCTTTTTTAAAAAAGCCTTGGTGCTGTCGGCTATCTCAGTACATGGCTACCTCGCTCTATTTTCATTTACACTAACAATACCCCTTTAACGGCAGGATGTTTTAAATCAGAACTTAGATATCTGAAACACTGATATCGTCTTGTTTGTCCCGGTCTTGTGAAACTAATACTCGGACATAGTTTCGGCAGAAACGCTGGTATATGATGCTTTTCCATACTCCGAGTACATCTTTCCTTTAAACTACGAGGCCTTGAAAACACAATTCTTGCTCGGGTTTTATTTTTATTCCATTAAAGAACTTGACAGCGCCCTCTAGAGCCTTTTTGAATTCCTCTCTGCGTCTCTGTCTATAAAAGTACATCACAACATGAAATCAAAACATCTATGAAAAAGTTCAATGGCTTCTCCTTGCCGATCGCTCTGCTGGTATTTACTTGGGGTCGGTGACGTCAGCGAGTATTGTGTTTTATCCAATCACTGCCACATCCAGATTTCGTATGTGTCACACGATTTGCTGAATAGTTTTGTGTCAGGCCTTGCTTTCTCTTCTCCCCCTCCCGCCTCCCCCATCTAAAATCTCCTCTCCCCTAGCTCCTTAGGAAGGCTTGACACTAAGGCTAATTTCTAACAAAAACCTGCACTGGGCATCAGTGAAGTTGGGGGGAAGTTTAGGCCAAAAATTGCATTTTTGGGAACAATTTTCGAATTGAAAATTGGAGTTTTGTTAGGTAAATATTTCAGAAATCACACGAACGGTTAAAAATCTGTTTACATGATAGTTCCTCTCAATAAAAATGTCATCAACTTTTCCATAGCCCCACCCCTAACAGCCACTGTTTATTGTCATCTACAAGGTGGGGTGAAACGTTTTTTCACAAGGCTGAAGAAACATTTGACACTGAAATTGAAACAGGATAATAATAATAATAATAATAATAATAATAATAATAATAATAAAACATTTATAATGCGCAATTTCCATAAAATGTTCAAATGCGCATGACAAGATTAAAAACGAAATAAAAAGGCTAAAAAGCTAAAATTACAATTAAAAGTAAACTCACAATAATAAAAACAACTATGATAACAATGCATGACGGAAAAGGCGAGTTTTTAGCTTGGCTTTAAAAATACTAACTGTGCTGGCGCTTCTTATATCAAATGGTAACGCATTCCACAGTTTCGGTGCAGCACAGGTAAAAGAATGATCACCTAGTGTAGCTTTAGATTTAAAAAACGGATAACTAAGTAAAAGGTTATCACTTGAATTCCTTAGATTATATTTAGATGGGAGCCTAAGAGAAATTAGAGACGATAAATAAGAAGGCGCTAAAAAATTAAGAATCTTAAAAGTAATTAAAAGTATTTTAAACTCGATTCTATATTTAATCGGTAACCGGTGTAATTCATAAATAAGAGGCGTTACATGACAAAATTTCCGTTCTCTAAAAAGCAGTCTGGCGTAAGCGTTCTCTACTCGTTGCAGTTTATTCAACAAGCAGTCTGGTAGTCCATATAAAAGACCATTGCAATAGTCAAGGCGGCTTGTTATGAATGCATGGACAAGTATCTCAGCTGACTGCCGTGAAAGATACTTTCTGATCCGACGAATATTATAAATATAGTAAAATGAAGAGGCACAGAGTTTTGTGATTTGTGATGCCATGGACAGCCTGGAATCAAACCAACAACCAAGATTTCTCGCGAGTGGCACGGGATGAATATCTGAGTCACCCACACGTATACTGATATTATCTAGCTTTTCCAGCTGTTGTGATGAGCCAGTGATGAGGAATTCAGTCTCAGTCAGTCGTGCGGATATTAAATTAAAGATCATTATTCAACATCCAAGAACTAATGTCTCTGATGCAGTCTTCAATATTCCTCACCGTAGCAAGTTGTTCAGCTCTGTCGTTCGTACTTAATGAGATATAAACTTGAGAATCATCAGCGTAACAGTGAATCATGGGCAGATGGTAATTAATTATCTCAAAAAGCTCACTCGTGTACAACGTGAACAATAGCGGACCAAGACAGGAACCTTGAGGCACGCCGCGTTTTAATTTAAAAGGTTTAGATAGTGACTCGTTGATCATTACCCGCTGAGTTCTTCCAGACAAATAGGATGCAAACCAGGAGAGGGCTTTTCCCTGTATACCGAATGAGTATTCAAGTCGACGTAGCATGTATCAAAGGCAGCACTCAAGTCGAGCAGAATTAGCAAAGTAACACACTGATTGTTCATGTTCAAGAGAATGTCATTCGTAACCTTAAGCAGTGCAGTTTCTGTGCTGTGATTTTGTCGATAAGCTGATTGGAACACTGGGATCAGATTGTTACAATTTAAATAATGTTGTAGCTGCTTGGCAACCACAGTCTCAACTAGCTTTGAGATAAATGCAAATTACTCACTGGTAGGATGTAAATATTTCACCCTTTATGAACCATTTCATGCTTAAAAATCCGCGGGCACTTGTATATATTTTTGCATGCCAATCAAATGAAAATGTATACCTGAGACAAAATACATAGAATGAAAGTATGAGGGAAGGTTTGGTGTGACCATTTCCAATTTTGCTCAATCCTTAGCGACATTGGTTCTTAAACCCTTCATATACAGGTGACTTGTTTCAAATTAATAACAGTGCTAACAACTCAAGAGTTTTCAAGGCCCCCTAAAAAACCTGGGCCATATCCCTATACACTGGAGTAGGATTCAACCAGAAACAATGAGTTAACCGTTGCTAGCTGCATTTCATGAGAGCAATAACTAAAGGAAGTCGATTTACATCAATTAATTTTAATTAACAAAACTTGCAAAAAATGTACTATTATGCCGTTCTTAGACTAATAATGATTTAGACTAATAATACATAGATTTAGCCAGGGCTAAAAGCGAAGCTTTCGTTAATATTTATAGTTGACTAAAAATATATATACATATATAATTATATAAAATCATGTAATTCTAAAGAAACGGTGAAGACAACGAGAACCGTAAAAAACAACAACAATAGGTCTAATCAGCAAAAAAAGAACAACAACAACTTTGCACGTGCAGCACACTTTTTTTGTACATTTCTTTGCAGTTGTTTTGCACGGCCTACAACGTGAAAGTTCCAGAAGCTTCCTAGTTACACGTTTTATGGAGGAAATGTCGTATGTGTTCCTGTTCACTTTTTTTTTCACTGCCGCCCAATTTCACCTTGGTGGCCACTAGCATTTCTCATTTTCTCACCGCCGCTGTAAATTTTCATGTTTTTCGTCAAACGAAATTGGTCTCCGTTTTTTTTTTAATTTCTAGCTTTAGCTCTTTCTCTCTTTTCCACGTTGATATAGACATTAAAATTTAGTCCAAAGAGAGACTTGACTTTGTTGTTGTTTTTTTATTGGGCTGCGCGGAGGGCAACGCCCAATCAAGATCTACCTTTGTCTATGTCGAGAAAAGACAAAATGGCGGACGGAACTCCCAGAAGGCTTTGCGTATCCCATTCCCCCTTTAATGGAGCCGATTTCTGCGGGGAAGGGACGAATCATTTTAGGCCGTCTAACGAACATATTTGAAAGTCTCTTTGGAACGAACACAAAATTATTTGGCCTTATATCTACGCCGAATGATTATCTAAATACAGTACTCGGTGATGTAGTTAGAGTACGCGGGAGCTGCAGATACAAGCGGCCCTCACACGGTCTCCACGGGGAAAGCTTCAACTTGTTGCAGTTCTCTCCCTGTGTGTGAAAAGTCTTTCCTTACAAGAAAGGAATGTGCTCTTTGTAGACATCCGTATGGCGTAACAAACAGAGAAGCTCTGCTGAAAAATAACCTGCACATTCTGATTTAAGACCTGACTAGACCTCCAACACCCACAGAATCACACCATATCAATTGTCTCCTGGAGGGCAAGAGTTCAAGTGTCAAGTTGATGTCTCGCAAAGATGGCGTGATTCCGGGGGGGTTGGAGTTCCAGGTCAGGACTTAAATCAGAGTATGCGGGTTATTTTTCCGAAGCAGAACTTCTCTGTTTGTTACGCCAAACAGATGACCTACAAGCGAAACAGCTGTCTATGGCTACAATCCCCCTCTGTTTTGGGTTCTTTCGGTGTCGTGTTGATGCCTTGCAAGGTTAACTGTTCACGTAGTAGGATGAGCATTGCAGTATTCTGTTTGCGGAATTTAATATGTCTACTTGTTATTATTGCTGATCAGGTCTTAATAGATCCTACGTTCTGCGGCACATCATCGTTTTCGGTCCTTTGCAGTCCTTTGTGGTTATTAATTTTCGTGCTTTTTGTACATCGCCCCGTCAAAATAGAAACATATTCACTTGTCATGGAGTTTTAGAAGGGCTTTAAATGATATATCCGACAGAAATAAAACTGAAACTTTATTTCCTTTGCAATTTTAAGGATTATAAAGGAAATAAAGGGAGATGTAAGGAATCAACCATAAGAGGACACAGAAAAAATCTAAGCCCCAGATGGGATTCGAACCCACGACCCTCCGTGTTTTTAAGAAACAGAATATTACTGTTATATAACAGTATTTAAAACAATAAAGGTTGACCCTGTCACGATTTATAAGAGTAGAAGGACAATTTTTGGAATTTCCGATTAGGTCAAATAGGTCACCTTATACTGTCATACTATATTTTGGGGGTAGAGAGAGTGCATTTTGGACATGTCCCACTTAAAAAATAATGCCAATCGTTTCTTGTTTCATAAGGCTAACTGGCCTATTTGTCTTAGTAACCGTAGAGGTCACTATATACAGCCCTGGCTTAAAAACGCGTTCTTACAAACTATTTTGTCCGAACCAAAATTTCTTGGATGCGTAGATGACAAGATTTTCATACCCATGGTGCTCCGCTGCGCGCGCTTCGCGCCCGAGAGCTCCGCTATTATTATGCATACTATTACTGATGTTATTATAATTTTTATAACCAACCAACTCCTATCTATTTCAACAGAGTTTCAAGAAATCGTGGAAAGCGTGCCAAGTCGGCATCCACGAGAAAGACGGAATATACCCCCTACCTTTAGTGCATTATCTTTACAGCAAATCCGCCAGGAAATCAACAGGAAATTCACACAAGCATGCACCACAGCAGATAAGCTTTGTCAAACTGGTCAACAGGGACCCAAGGGAGAAAAGGGTGCCCTTGGGTACCCTGGATACAAGGGAGAGAAAGGAACCCCTGGTGAAACCGGCCCACGTGGTCCTATAGGCCTCACGGGAGCTCAAGGCATCAGTGGAAAACAAGGGCCTACAGGAGCGCGGGGAGTCAAGGGAGAGAAAGGTGAAGAAGGAGCTGTGGGCTCTCCTGGAGCAAAAGGAGACACTGGACCTATGGGCCCAACAGGCGATAAAGGCTCTATTGGATTTAAAGGAAACAAAGGGAACAGGGGCTTTACTGGTATTCAAGGACCAAAAGGAGAATGTTCTGTTACTCCCAAGATTTTTGTTTTTCCTGAGTCTCAGCATGTGTTTGTTAACAAGTCAGCAACATTTTATTGCTGGGTTGAAGGACAAATGTCTAAGAAGATAACATGGCGTAAGCTCGGAGGTAGCCAGCCTCGTGACATTAGAACCAAAGATGGTGAACTTCATATCAATAATGCAAAAAGGTCACACAGTGGATCATATTTGTGTATAGCATTTACTAGTTATGGAATATTCCAAGCAATCACTATTCTTGAAATTGAAGGTAAAATATTTTCTCTTTCTCTCTTTCTCTTCCTTTTTTTCTTCTTTTTTCCCTGCAAGAGTTATCTTCAGAAGTTTTACTTTTTGTTTCTCAGTATCTTAAAAAAAGAAGTGATTTTTTAAAAACATTTGAGTATAACAAACTGCACGATAAAAGATCGCTGAAAACATTTTAAGAAATTTAAACATTATCAGGTCAAAAGAAAATAGTGTTAAATGATCTATCACTCTAAGAAAAAAAAAAGATCATTAAAGAGAAAAGTGACATAAAAAATATGTTGCGAGTCTACCAACTCGGGGGCGTAGCCAGGGGTCAATTGAATAAAACTTTTACAAGTATAGCCATTGTTTTAGAGTCTGAAGACAATAGCTACACTTGTACATTACTACTGTATTAGTTTTATTAAATTTACCCCAGAGTTTTTCCTGGAGTACGCATAACTTTACAAATCCTCCTGCCTTCCCCCACCGCAAAAATCCCAAATCTGTGTCTTGACTAATTATATGGGAGAGGTTACGTGGTAGATCTAAGCGTTTTTACTGCATATGAAATGCCTTTAGTAAGTTTTTAAAATTCTTTATCGCCTTTTTGGGTGCATTGCATTGACCAAGGCCCTTCAATAGCTTATCATAAATTAATCAATTAAGTTGACAAGCTGTTAGTGTCTCTTATTTACAGTTGAGTGATTTTTTACCGCAGTTTCGCACAATGTTTTGACCTACAGAAGCACCCTACCTTGACGTAGTCGTGCCCAACTTCGTCTACTGCGAAGCCCCCTGGCCCTTATTTATTTTTATTTTTATTCATGTATTTTTTTCCAGTTACCAAACTATCTCATTTGTCTGAATCGTTTCTTATTATTGGGCCATTTGGTTTTTACATTACCTTTGTATCAAATTTCCAACTGCCACTAGTCATCTATAACATTTGAATTGTAATGACTTTCCGATTCTTCATTAAATCCCCAGAAGAAGGGCGGTTTGACCGTCCGAAATATCGGGAAACTTCAAGTCGCTTCTCTCTTTGCTGTTTTGTTATTTAATTTGTTATTTAAGTCTATACTAATGGAATCACTTTACGTATTTTATAAAATTAGGCTTGCGATCTTTTATGAAGAACATCTCGTTACCAAATTTACGTGGCTCTTCTTAAGAACGCGAAATTGGCCCTCATTCAAAAGATAAATTTTGTGACCTTAGGCTTCTAAAAGTTCTTACCTGTTGTCGAATAATGTGCTCAGCAAGGTGCTGAAGCAGGTGTCGGGCTGCGTGTAGCAAACACAATCTGCACATATAACATGAAAAGAAATAATAAACAACGCAATGCTTATTTACAATACGCGACTTAATTTGTTTCGGCTTTAGGTCTTGCTCCAATTTTCGTTTCCCACAAAACTCTCTCGCAATATATTTTTATATGTTACTTTTCTTTTTAATCATCCCTTCTTTTTTCTTGGATCATTTAGAACATGTACACCGGCTATTTTCTTTTGACTTGATAATGAATTCCGAGAACTTAACGCCGAAACGGCCTCATGTTTTAAACTTTGTTTCTCATTTTTTAAAAAAATTCTTTCTTTTCCTGTAGAGTACCTGGTATTAACGCGAAAGCCGCCTTCTCACGTGTTTGCAGATTTAGGATCCACAATCAAGCTTTGTTGCGAGGCCGAAGCGTCGTTGGTATGGTCAAAGGCCCAAACAGCTCTTACTTTGGTACCATCATCTCAGCAGAACGGATGCCTCATCTTAAGCAACGTTAATAGAGAAAGTGCTGGGAAATACACTTGTCGCGCAAGCAATGACCTTGGATTTGCAGATGCAACTACAGAAGTCATTGTGAGAGGTGATGCGTATACCCTTATGCAATCTCAAATTTTCCCCTTCCTTTCTCATATAAAAACAAATAAAATAAACGCTGCAGGTGTTATTGGTTTACGAATTACAATTGATCATTGCCCTTCAACGCATGCCGATACTGAAACCTTACGGAGTATCAAAATTAGAAGAAATTACCGGGTGTAAGAACCAATCGAGACCTTACTAAAATCCATAAGACCTCAATGCCGCAACGCTATAATCCTGAAAAGGTTTTTTCCCCCAAAAAACTTTCGTTTTGACTTTATTAAACATGATGCCTGCTACCGAACTGAGATTATAGTTTAACTTGATTTCGTCAAAAGGGGATCAAGGAAAATAGCAAAAAAATATTACTAAAGCTAAGGACTTTAATATGGAACAAATTTTAAAATCTTAGGCACTGTTTCACTTAGCTGCTTTAATGGTCTATTAGCTGTTGTTCATAACTGTTTTAAACCGTTGACGACATAAGAAATCAAATCAAAAACATATCAAACACTGAAGTCGTAATGGAATCGTAAACTCGACGAAAACGGAAGAAAAAAATGAGTAGATCCTTTTCTAACTCACGAAGCTATTACAGGTCCTCAGGTAAAGAATTAAATGGAGCAACACTAAAACAAAACAAAAAAAAGAAAAAGAGAAAAGAAAGAAAAGAGTAAGCGCTTGGGCGTACGAATTTTTCTTGTGTTGTATTACAAACCCTTGAAAGATTTTAAAGAGAAGCAAAAAAAATCTCCCTAAGAACGGCCGGAACTACAATAATAATAATAATAATAATAATAATAATAATAATTCCTTTATTTACCCTCGGCGGTATTTATAGCACTTATGCAAGTGGGGCCCAGCAAATGACACAAACAAATAATTCAAATCAAACATAACAGGGTTAAGAATCCCAACTGGCCGGAGGCAAAGCAGCTGGCTATTTACAAGCACCGCTGAGGATTTGAACTCGGGACGACCGAGAACAAATCCAGCTAACGGTCAGAGTGGGACTTGAACTCGGGGATTCCGAATTGCAATTCCAGCGCTCTAACTGCTCGGCCACGTTCAGCCTCCTTACAAATTAGCTGGATCTCGAGTCAGGTAAGTATCGCTATGCACTAAAGAAAAACAATAGGAGAAGCAATTCTGTTCGTCTTCCGCCAGCCATCTTGATGTTTTTTTTTTTTTTGCATAAAGTAGCGAGGCTTGCATTTCTACTTCTCCGGCATTCCGACTCCATTCCAATTCCACTTCCTTCCCTTTCATTGTTAGGGAGAACCAGACCTTTACAGAGATATGGAGTCATCTTCGATTGTCAAATATGAAAAATATGAGTGAGAATAGCGAAGGAGTGAGAAATATATTTGAATTTAAGAAGATAAATTTCGTGTCTCAAGCGATTTAGCCAAGGGGAAAAGCGAAGCCTCCACTGATTTTATTTATTTTATTTATTTGCCACACAATAATTACAAAAAATATAGGAAAATAAGAAAAAAAGAAGTGGCGAGGAGACCTAACAGAAACTATAGGAGCTTATGAGAGGTTAGGCCTCCTCGAACTACGGGCTAGAGCTGTTTAACATCAATTGAAGAAAAGATGGCGAAAAGTCGAACATGGAAAGATTTATGAACTGTTTTCATATTTACTCAATAGTTTAATCTTCAGTTTTTTCTCAAAAGAGGAAAGGGATTGAGAGTTGATGACCTCGTGGTCAAGTGAATTAAAAAACTTAGGCCCTTGAAAAAAAGGCGAGAACTTCTTAGTGTTTGTACGACAATACGGTAGACGGTAGGCCTGGGAATTTCTTGTACTGTAAGAGTGGAATTGATTGCTTTAGGAGAAATTGTGTCATTAAACCTTGAAGGTAAGAATGAATTTTTGCACGAATACATAAATTGGCCCAGTTGAAGCAAATGGATATCATTAAATTTTAGTATACCGAGGTCCTTAAAGATGGGTCTGTATGAGCATTGAAATGTGATTTATTAATAATTCTAATAATTGGCTTTTGCAGGATAACGAGGCGGGGGGAGATTGGCTTTATAGGTCGAAGCCGAAACTATATTGCAGTAGTAAAAATAAGGAAAAATTAATGAATAGTAGCGCATACTTAGAGACGTTTTAGGAAAAAAGAAGCTGCATCTATGTGCTTTTATTTTCTAAAAACCAAGAAATGACAACGAATAAGCTTCAACCTATGCAAATCCAGCTATTTTTACTTAACTGATTTTAAAACAACAACAACAAAAAACAAAAACTGAGAGAAAATTACAAATCAAATTCGATCACGGTAATAATAGTCTTGGAAAAGAATTCGCACTGCCCCTTTCCCCCGCCCCCCGACCGTATATACACCCCTATGAGAAGCTAATTAGCCCATGAAACTGGGTATTCTCTAAAACCTTCCTCTTCCCGTTTGCGACCGGTAAATTAATTTAAGCTTGTGTATATTAAACGCGAGGCCATTGACATCGTCTCTCTGTCTCAAATTTTTAATATAGATCATGACATGAAACAAGAGAGAATAATATGTCTTGCATGAAATAATTACGCCTGACTTTACAACAAAACTAAGACGAGATAAGACGCAGCCATCGATGAAGCCCTTTGAGTCCTCGACGAAAAACCAAAAAAAAATTCCGCTTTGAAAAACAGAAAAACTGAAACCTGGCAGCAGTTGTATTTCAGTTTATGGCGGCAGTACAAGAACAATTTTAAAACTTTTCTGAAATAAAAAATGGGCTTCATCTATCCGCAAGTCTGTCGGCTAACAAAGTTCTAGATGTTGCATGAGTTTTCATGCATAAGTTCACCTGACAAAACCAAAAGCGTGACCAGGCAAAAAGCAAAGCTTGTGAAATTTATTTCCGAACGTTTTGTTGTAAGTCAAACACAAGAAACTTCAATCTAGATTTTTACTCTAGCAACTGTGTTGGTTGCCCCTAAAATGGCTAATTTTGCGCCAAAACGAAACCCAACGTACATGTCTTCCCTACTATAAGGAGTTTTTTTACCCCTACTCCAAGAGTCCGTACGTACGTGCGGGTGTACGCTGACGTCATAACCAAATTTTCTCTGACACGCCACTTGCACATCTCAAGTGCTCCTTATTTGCCCCCTAAAATTTTGCATAACCTTTGTTTTTCATTTCTCCTGGGTATTACAGCCGTCCAAAGAGAAATTGAAAACAATGCTTATGCAAAATTTGGGGGGGCAAATAAGGTGCATTATGGGAGATGTGCAAGTGGCGTATGGATAGATTACCAAATTATCTTAGCAATGGGACTCCGCTCGCGCGCGCGTGGAGCTCCGCTATTAGTTTTCACCAAATCAGTGGTAGCAATTTTTGCGCGTTCTGATTGGCTCCCGTAACTCGGATTCACTGTTTTGGGACGGGATTGAAAATGGCTTCTCGTTTCGCGACAGTTTCGAAAGATAAAATTTTAGCGGTAATGAAGCAGCTGCACCAACAAATACCAAGAAAGAGACAAAATTTGGTTTGTCGGTGTTTACTGGTCGGTGGAAAAAAATTTCTTACTGAACTTGCAACAAAATCATAAGAAATGATCCCCGAAACACTGTCAATTGAAACGTAAGCAAAAATTCTAAGTGACGTCTTTTATTTACAAAAAGTTCCTTTTTGATTTTTATTCAGCTGATTTGGTAAATACTAAACAACTATCCCCCTCAGGGTCGGTTCATAGCGTTAGATATATACCTCGACGCTTCGCGTCTCGGTATACCACCACTTTTCACCTCCGCTTCGGGGAATAGTTGTATATTATTCTGTTTATTATATATACAAATACTACGTACGTACGGGGTCTTGTCTTGAAAGGTAATAAACGCTCACCATAAAGAATAGAAGACTAGAAGCTTTAAATCCTTGTAGAGTTTTTGGTTTATACTCGTCTCCGTTATTTTTCCTCATGGCCAAAATAAATCTGCCTTAGTATATTCAATCCAGCTCTTTTTATTCTCCTTCTCTACGAACAACTTAACAAGCCACAAATCATTGTCTTCCTTTTTTAATTTTGCAGTTTCTTCAATTTAAAAAAAGTTGTCTACATCCTTGCCTTTTAAAGACTCGAAATTCGCAGCCATTGCTTAGCCCTTTCTAGTTGTGTTTTTCTTAAAATTGTCATGTGTCGTAGGAAACAGTTGCATATATGCCCACAGAAAACTTTAGGCAGGTGATGTCATAAAAACACACTGCAGAGGTCAATGGTTGGCTTATAGTAACTATCGTATTTTTAAGTAGCTATCATAATTTTACGTCAGTTGTATGTTCCCTATAAAAAACCATGACAGTTTATGAAATAAGTTTTGTTTCTTTCTTTCTTACCGTGTAGCGGGAAATGCGTGGTGTGAAGAGGAACAGTCCTTCAAGGTACATACTGTTTAGTCTCGGCAAACATGTTCCCTGACCTTTTAGCGGAATGATATGCCTCTTTTTTTCCACCGACCAGAATTATGCAACTGTAAGTGAATCTTTTCATTTATTTTTAATTTTTATGTTACTGTTCCATTTATGTCTCAGAAGTTTTCCGGTAAAAACCAGCTTTTCTGGTGTACCCTATTTCATTTATTAAATGGCCGAGTCAAAAGCTAAGGAAGTTTTAAATAAGACCCTTGAGCATTTATTTGTTGAGTTATAGCAATCTTAACACGGGATTCAATAGACCGGCTTTGAAATTAACTTCGGAGATGTTTTGAATCAAGATTATTATACATTGTTCACTTGCTATCTGCCTTCTCATTGGCTAAAGCCCTACGGTAAATTTTGGAAACCCGAGAAACCTATAAAGATGAGATATTTATCTGCTAGCAGGTAGCTGACTGAATCTGTAGCTTGCGCGCACAAAGCTTGATTTCCAAGAGCAATGTCCCACTGTGTTGGGTGCCACAGTGTGTTTGATTAGTTATTTGGGTTTTGTAATATCCGCAATAATCAAGATATCTGTCCGTGCTATCAGCCAAGGCCTTTAAATTTTTTCTCAACCTTGATTATTCCGGATATCACGAAAACGTCGTTCAATGACTGTTTAAAATACGATATTTGCTTCCTCTATGTAGAAAGTCAGCTTTGATGAAATTATTTCATTCGAGTCCACTTTTTTTAAGGCCTTCTGTGCACAAGGCTGGATGTTAATAGCTCGGTTCTCCAATAAAGATACTAAAAACTGGATGGTTGACCATGGTACTTGGTGGTATGACCGTTACACTCCTTCTGGAAGCACCGATAAGTATTACGAGAACTATGACATGATTTCGCCAGCCTTTGGACTAGTCAGAGGTAGAGAGTTTAAGATTACTCGTAGTGATGACTGGCGGCATACACCGCTGCTACAGACCACAGGGAACTGTTTAGGTGGGCAAACATTCCGATCAAAAATCACAAGTTATGGCGACTTTAGAAATGGTAAGGTTTGGTCCAGTAACAGGTGCCTGGGAAGCTGCACGGTTCAATATGGCGGTCAGTACAAGACAACAGGCGCGTTTCAACAGGCTGAGTGCAGTGGCAACATCCAAAGCAGCAACAAGATCGGCTTCTGGTGTCACTGGGGTAGTGATGGATCAGTCATGATGATTGGTGGAGGAGGAAGTGGCTGTGGACGTGCTGATCATGGGATTGGAATAACAGAAGCTTACGATGCTTCCTTTGTTGAAAAAGGCAAGCTAGGCAGTTATGGAACTGAACTTGACTTTGGACACAATGGTGACACAAGTTCACCACGTTTTTACGTAAGTAGTGGCTACTCATTGAACTTGTGGATCCGTTGAGTGAAAGGTATAATGTTTAAGGTACTTTCTACCCTACCTGCCTTATCAGATCTTTTAAATCAGAAAAGATATCAGAACTTGTATTTGCAGCGACGTTAAAGAAATTTTGCCGAATAGAAATTGCATTGTAAAATAATTGTATCCTACGCTGCTCTTCGGTATTATACCGAAGTTCAGGAAGCATTTGTTCGCAGCCAGCCAGTTAGCAAACGAGGCCATTATAAACAAATTAGTGGGAACGGATGGCAAATGCAAACAAGATGATCTGAGAGAATGACGTCTATCATGAATATCCATGATGTAACATTTTTCTAAACAACTCAATTTGTTGCTTCCTACTCTGTTAATAACATGTTTAATTCTAAATTGTTTTATATCACTACGTAATCTCATTATGGAGCCAACTTTTTGAAACTATGAAACAATGCAATTTACTGTATCGCACGCGCACATGAATTACTTTTATTTACTTCTCATGTCCTGAAAGCAATATGCATTGCTCAGTCTGTAGGATCCTGCGTGCAGGTTTTGCGCTTTGCTTGATCCGTACGTGTATCCCGTTATTTGAACATAACTGTGACCCAAATTAGAGTAAAGCTGGCACTATTCATGTCCCCCACCATAGTTAGGCCATAGTTGCTCTTTCCATATACGGTGTGTTCAGTTTTCTTGGGGTGAAACATGAACGGTTCCAGGCCATCTTTGTTTTTGAAGGAAAAATGAAGCTGTGAGCTGAATCTGTGTATGAGCCACCAGAATCTAATAAACAAGAACTTAGTCTCACACTACAGTAAAATGCTCTAATAGCGACCAAGAAGGTTGAAGTTTTAAGCATTCACGAAAATGACCAATTAAATTTGAGGAAATTAGAACAGGCAAAATCACAAAAAAGTGTTAAGAGCCAAAATATCATGAACAGCTAGTTCATTAGATGAATATTTAATTTTCTGTATTCTGGGCAGGAACTGTTGGGCTCAGTCAGTCGATCGCTAGTCGGAAGGAACTCTTTTGGATAGAAAGTGGAAAGTGAGGATTGTTTCAGCTAGTCTGATAATATATTACGGAAAACTGACCTTTTCAACCAAATGGCGAGAAAAACTTCAGTAGAGCTTTCGAAACCCAACCTCAGGTTTCTATGATGAGATAACGGATAAAATGCAGCCTCAGGTTGGTGACGACCATCAAATAGTTAATCGCGCTTCATCGCTCGTTTAGAGATACTAATCGGATTCATACATTGTTTTACTTCTGGCAAAGTGGCCCTCCTGGCCTACCGACATGAGAAGGAATTTTGAGCATCATTACCATAATTTGGCTGCGTCAATAGCCCCATCATTTGAAGAGGAACTCAAACAAGTCCTTTACCTTTTACTCAAGTTTCTTGTTAACTAATGTTATGAACTAGTAATAGTTGACACTACAGCTGCTCCCCGCTCTGTATATTGTCGGTCAATAGTATTCTTGATCGTTGTGTAGCTCTTTGAAATATACCGATTCATAATGAAGATGTTCACATTTCCCATACAATAGGTGAGATAAATACAGGAAATAAACGCAAGGTTCCATGCACAGTTTCGGTTCGATTTACACAGCTTTGATCAAAACATTCTCAGTTTCGAGAATAGTTTATTCTAAACCATAAGAAGAGATTTAATTAGAAGTATTATACTACTACAACAGAAATTTCTGCAATTTGATTGGCTCAGAGCAAAGGTATTTCAGCTTAATTGGAAATACCCACATGTGAAAATTACAAACCTTTTGTGGGTAGTAGTATAAACAAATAATCGCATGATTTTTACGTGATATTTGGCATAAATACCACTTGTGATATTTCAAAATTGTCTCAAATTTCACTCGCCTAACGGCTCGTGAAATTTCCTATAACAATTTCGAAATATCACTCGTGGTATTTATGCTGAAGTTTAATTTTTCACATTTTACTCCCCAGGTTAGGCTAGCTAGGCTATTTTTCTTAGTAAAAAGGAAACCTAAAGTTTTCAGACTCAAAATGGGATGTAGAGAGGAATTACAAAAATTCTCACTTTTGTAAAACGTTGAATTGCTTCTAAAATTTTCGGGAAAAAAATACTGGAGCCCTTAGGCTAATAATTTCAAACAGACTCGAGTTGCCCTAGGATGACAGAACAGATCCAAATTTTATAGCGCCGCTTAGAATGCATTTCTAGAAATCTAAAAGTACTCCGGGTAGCCTAAAAAGTGTTTTCGATTTATGTAGGAGTAAACCGTCGTTGGGTGCCCCTGATTTAGTTCTTTTTATTTGCCAGAAAGTAAGCCTTAGAAATTAAAAGGACGTTTGGTCGATTCACGTTCGCGCTTTCTAGTCTTATTTTAAACTTTATAGCGGAAGGATATCTGTGAGCAGGGAATAAGTTAGCACAGAATTTGATGGTTTGGATGGCTGTTCAAGCAAATCGAGATTTTTTTTTATATTGACTGTATGACTGTGTAAGTACCTTCCTTAATATACGCGCGAGTTACTAGAGTGCCTCCTCGGAATTTCGCCTTCTGAGCGAAATCCCTGCGGGGGCAATGCAACAATTTATGATATTTTAATTACATGAATAACAAATATACTATAAATAACAACAGGAAGTTTTTAAATGCACAAGTTAACAAATTAAAAATCATATGTTTTCTGTGTTAGATATTCCTCAGCAAAACAATCTTCAGACCTCAAGTCACCTACATTGATTAACGCTTTACTTACGCTTTACTTTCGGTCAGCATATCTCCAAAGATATGCTCTCCCACTTTTACAGTCGACTCCCGATACCTTTAAGGGAAATCGAAAAAAGTTCGAGTTATCGGGAGTTCAAGTTATAGGCAGCTCAAAGCAAATAGCTAGAAGTAAGGTCTAGATTATAAATATAAGAACGCTATAAGGTAACAAAACATAGCCCAAAAAGAGCATACGTTTTACTGTTGTGAGAAGTAGTGCTGTTTCACGTTAGATTTGTGCAACATCAGCCTCCACTAGTAAACTATGTACCTACAACACTGCATCAATGACACAGGAAATTCACTGATTGCAGAAATTCAATTTCGGACGCCAGTACACTGTTTTTTATTTCCCGACTTTTTAAGCGCTCAAAACATGGTTCGAGTTATCGAGGGTAAAATTATATAGAAATGATCTGAGGGGAAACAAAAATTACTTCGAGTTAGGGGGAGGATCTAGTTATCGGGAGTTCGAGTTACCGAGGGTAAAATTACAGTAAATGTATGAGGGAAAACCAAGGGACATCGATTTTGGTTCGAGGTAGAGCGAGGTTCGAGTTAGCGAGGGTTCGAGTTATCGGGAGTCGACTCTACAAACGTCACTGTGGGACCCCAGCATCCCGGGTCTGTTGCTCGGTAGCACAGCTTCCTCTTTGACGGCTCCATATAGATACAGGTTCCAACTAACCTTGTCTGACTTATAATTTGGCCCTTGAGATCAAATACTTGAAAATACGTGAGCCATGTTTTTTGGAACAAGGAAAGCGCATATCGTCAACTGTAAAAGGATACAAAGAAGTATTCTACCACATGCAGCAAACAGGTAAGCAAATAAACTGCGGGCTCAACTTCTGCCAATTGTTTTGCCTCTCCTTGGTCAGGAAGCTGTAACAATCAGAATTTGTTTAATCTGATAACAACGTCATAATTTTTAAACCCGAAATAAGGGCCATATCACAAAGATTGGTGATCAATTTCTTTCATCAGTATTTTGTGTGTGTCTTATCCAACACATAAGGTTAGCAAAAGCCATGAATCTAAGCGCCTCAGGGTACCTTCTAGTCCCGTAAGGGGTACTCCCTTTGATGAGCCCATGTAGGTATGTGCCGCCCAAAGGGTTTTGCACCGTTTTGGTCTGAAAACGGGTATAGGTTTTGCCCATTATGGTCTGGATATCGCAGTGGCCTATCCAGGGAAGGGGCTGGGGAGCCCGGTCCCCACCTTATTTTTAGACCAAACTGAGAACCGAAGGGCCGAAAAAAATATTTTTTTTGCCTCAAAAGCGGCTTTTTGAGCGATTTTGAAGGGTTTTGAGTTCGCCGTTTACTGTTCCTAATAATAGAAGGACAAGGGAGGAATCCATGTTTTGAAGGGCTCCAGCTCCGGAGCAATTTTTTTTTCAATTTTTCCATCGCTCCACTTTCAAACTTCGCAGCGGAAAGGTCGAAAGATTCACGCTTGTTCTCGTACCTTCCGATCGAAAATCCATCCAAAAGGCCCGGAGTTAGCCCTCGAAGAAAATTAAAATCCCACAGTTTTTGAACGATCAAAATGCGTAACAAGATTCATACGTGCCAGTCAGAAACCATCCCGCTGATTGCCTTTTTTTTGTTGTTGACTAAATCAAATGCTAATTGTAGTACTAAGTTATCCAAAAAGACTCATTGGTAATCTTTGCTTTGTCGCTAGTTCTCTTCTCGTTGATATTTTTGAGGATAGAAGTTGTACATAGGAGGGCAGAGGTGACGGCATCAAAACTGGAAAAACGAATGTAGTGAATCGAGGACGAAATGAAAGCGAGAGTACAGACTATTGTGAAGGAGATGTTACAGACAGAGGAAAACCCTACGAGACGAGGCTCAAAAATTATGCAAGCTTAGGTAAGTACAAAACAACTGTTTTTGAATACACAGGACGCAGCCCTAGAACACCAAAAGATAGATCGAATATCATGCAATACAATGCAGTACAATACTTTATTTAAAGTGGAACATACTCTTAGCTATATGGATTACTTTAAAAGAAAACTTCACCACCTAATTTACAGGTGTGCCACTGCAAATAAAATCAATAGAATAACAGATAAAAATAAATACGACAATATAAAAGCTATTTACAATTAAAATCACACATAAAATACTATCAAAAATCATTTGCAAAGTCGATTAAAGAGACGTTTCGTAGATAGTAAAATAATGATTCATTCGCTAATAGTTTTTTAACTGTTTTAAAGTCGGATGACGCTCTTAGGAAATCAG